AAATAAAAATAAAGAAAGAAAATAATAAAAAATCCAAATAAGCCTCCTCCCGATCGTAAGTCACGGGAACCGTGACAGTATCGTGTTTTCAATTATATTTGGTCGCATTCCATCAGAAACATTAAAATAAAGTTGCAGGCTATTAAAATCATGATTAAAACGTTCTTGATAATGATTATATATAGACTTTCCTGAGGAAATTTACCACATAATTATCCCAAATGAATAAATTTCTGATGCTTTAGTGAATGGATCTCCACTTAGAACTTCAGGTACTCCGTAATACATGCTTCCAATCCATTTACATTTTGTTGTTAATGCTTTGTCAACCGGTAAAAGTAATGGTGAGAGTGCTATATATGCACTAGTTAGATTAGTTTGTAATATATCCACCATATATAAACCGCAATTAATAATGTCGCAAGAATGAATTATTTGAAGGTCACGAGCTATATACAATAATAAATTTAATTTTCATTCCATCACATTCTTGCAACAGAATAAAGATTGCTCTCTACAGAATTCGCCAGTCCATCTTGTATGACTAGAATATAATTACCGGTAGCTTTATCTCTTGATACTCCATAACATTGAAGAAATGCGGGCCTCTTGCGTCCAATAACACAGTATGCGTTTAGCTTTAAAGTATACTGCTATTATTATTATGGTATGCACAATATACGTATAGAAATATCGACATTATCAAATTTTACCTCGTTCAAAAGTAGCTCAAGACTATCGGCTTCGGCTGATTCAGTAAGTAGGTTTAACCTAACTTTCCTTGTTCTTACACCCGACTTATACGGATATGTCCATTCAGCCGAATATATGTTTATAACCTTACCTAAATAAATAGTTTGTATATTTTCTAGTTCACTATATGGAATCCATGATAACGAATTTTAAATCATCATCTCTTTTAGAAAACCATTCATAATAGGATCAATTTCACTTCCATATTGACATTTATCATCATCTTCTCCCGCTTTTTGTAACCACATAATAGCTTTATTTCATTTGGAAGTGTCCCTGTGCCATTCCTATAACATATACTAAGATTATATTGCCCACTATGATTGCCGCAATTTGCCGATTTTAAATACCATTTAAATGCTTTCCTTTCATTTTTATCAACACCTATTCCAATTTCATAGCAACGCCCAAGGTTATTTTGCCCACTGGAATTTCCATCTTTTGCTGATTTCAAATACCATTCAAATGCTTTCTTTCCATCTTTGACAACACCAATGCCTTTTTCAAAACACCATCCAAGATTATTTTGTCCGCTGGAATTGCCACCTTTTGCTGATTTCAAATACCATTCATGCGCTTTATTTTCATCTTTGGCAATACATATTCCATATTGATAACACCATCCAATGTCGTTCTTTATTTCAGGGTTCACATCATTAGCAGATTTTAAATAGCGTTCCAAATCCTCCTTAATTAGAAATTTCCCTTCTCTATCTGATTCCATTTAAAGCCTAAATAACAATAATGCATATAAATTAATATAAAAAAGATTATTGAGTAAGATATTGTAGATAATCGATTACCAAAGTGATAGGGTCTTACAATTTACTTATGCGTAAACGTTATAAATTATATACTATATACAATTGCGAGTGTAACATGTTGTCAATGATTTAATTACTTGAAGTTACATAAATGAAATTGTACAAACTTTATTGCTTTTCCATGTCATTGGGTTAATTAAAATTACGTTTTTTGATGTTTTTTAGAGTTACCATTACGGTTATCATTGTGTTTTACATAGAGACCCGTAAAAATTTGCGTATAAATTAATACAAATTAAACCAAATTTCTAAGGGTAAAATTCACGTGATATGGTATAAATTTGATTGGCTAATAATTTTTGATAGTTAAGATTCAAAATTTTCCGAAAATTTCCGAAAGAGAAAATGAATGAACATAAAAGACGAGCAAGGTCAGAACAAAATTTTGAATAAATTTCCGATGATTTCGAAAAAGAAATAAAGAAATCGCAAGTTAAATTTTTACGGGTCCCTGGGACGCAAAAGTATCGGTTTGGATAGATCTGCGATTGCTTTTTTGATAGGTATAAAATGTACCCCAAAATTAATTTACGTTCTTGTTGCGTTTATAGAATAGACTAATAGAAGCTGTACCAATTTTTAAACTTTTTGAGCGAAGCTATTGTTACTATTGTTGGGAGAGCAATTGCGGAGAAGCGATTCGATTTAGCTCCAATAGTAAACGTGAAGGGTTATA